GTGAGCACCACCTGGCTGCTAATCACAGCTAAGGAAATACAAAGTATATGCAAAAAGGGAGAGAAGGAAGGGGACAGGAGGAGAGAGGAGAGGGAAAACATGGCACCTTAGTCTATGGTCCAGTCCTCATCCTGACACCCTAAAAATATCCCCAGCACAGCATAGAAGGCCTATCTCTCTTTGCTTTGGAGGTTCACAAGATGTAGAGCTGGAAGGTAACTTTGTTCAACCGGAAGCTGAGGCCCACACTGACACGGTCCCTCTCATAAAGTCACACAGGCAGTTGGTGGGCAGGGCCAGGCTACTAACCCAAAGCCTCTGCCCCCAAACCCAGCTCTCTGCCTACTGCACCATGCTGCCTCTCTACGGGGAGCTGAAAAGTAGGAGAGACTGGGACCCCAAGGACAGTGAGGAGGCCTTCTCCATGAGTTAGTCATCATCTAAGCATTCATCTGGAATGAAGCATAATTGCCGCTACCCAGCCCTGCATTTGTGCTCATGACAGAAACGTCAGTTCCAGGCAAAGCATATAAAAAACAAAAACAAAAACAAAAACAACAGCTGTTGAATGAATGGTTTGAGGTCAGGGCTTGAAGCCAAAATTAACCCTCAAAAACCCTAACAGATGTTCCAGGGACTTAGCTTAATTTCAGCCACTGAGCTTTCATGGCCAATGCTACAGTTTCCCCACTTACCTTAGCTAATCTCTTCCTCAGCTTGATTTTAAAATACACTTTTGTAAACCTGGGGCAATACTATTGTCTCATATTCTTCCGGGCTATAGGACTGCCTAATGCCAGAGGAACTAGAAGGCAGTTTTCTTGTGCTTCTCTCCCTCTCCTGCCCCTCATCTCTGCTTACTGGGGTCCTATTTAGCTTTGTGGAATCTTATTTTTATTGATTTTTGTTTTTTACCTCAGTTGTAACTGTCCGTTTCTGCTCCCCAGCAAGTCAACCATCTCTTGCACCAAAAACCAACTTACCCACCACTGCCACCTAGCGGTGCAGGCACCCATACCCGTTCCGCAACTACAGAGAAGGGACTTCCATTTTCTCATTTCTTCCCTGAGGCCATGAATGTCCATTTCTCCTGCCTGTCTTCCAAAGCCAGCTCATATGCCCTCTGAATGAAGCTGTCCTCCACCCTAGAAACGACCCCTCTCCCTCCTCTCATAAGAGGAAGGGTTCTACCTCTTGTGACACACAATGCTCTGTCATAGTTCTCTTGCACATCATTAAGTTTAGCAAAAAACTTTACATTAATATGCTCACAACTTGGTGTATCCCCTCTCCTGCCTACCGTAATGCCAGAGTCTTCTGTTGATTGTCTCCAATTTATCCCATATCTAGCTTGGTTGTATATAGTTGGTTGCATGTTGTCTCGCCCAGTATATTCTGAGCACTTTGAGGGCAGGCACCCGCCTTTTGCCTTCCTTTGTATCCCCATCACTTAACATTGCTCGTGGCACATAGTAGGTGCTTAATAAATGTGAATTGACTGACCATCCCCATTGAGGCAACAATGGACCAAGTGCTGGTCTTGGAGTGGTGAGCACTTGGGTTCACCTTCCACCTCTCCAAGACCAGCAGCTTTGTCCATCATACCGTACTGTCTCTAAACTGTCTTTGATGACCTGACCTCCTTTTCATGCACTTCAGAGGCAACTGGTCTAGAACAGAGTCCTGGACTTGGGTTCAGTAGAGGCCTAGGTTGAAATCCTAACTCTGACACTAGCTATAAGACTCTCAGCGAACCACTTAACCTCTCAACCTTAGTTTCCTCATCTGTTAAATGGAGATTATAAATAAACATAGGCCTTGTCTCACAGGGTTGTTGTGAAGGTCAAATGAGACAAAGGATGGTATGTATTTCCTTTCCTCCCCCTCTCCCTCACTTCCCATTAAAAAAAAAAGTATATAAGTGCCTTCTGTGTGCCAGGTAGTGTACTTTGCACTTTATAAATATCATTTCATCGAATCCTCACATCCACCCTGTGAGGGAGGTATCTCCAAACTACAGTTGAAGAAACTGAGGCAGACAAAGGTTATGTGACTTACCTGGAGTCACACAGCTCGTAAGTATCTGATGCCACATTTGAACTCAGGTCTCCCTGACTACAGATTAAATTCTAGATCCACCAGCCACCAAATAGACTTTGGTGTCTAATTTTATCACACACACACACACACACACACACACACACACACACAC